AACGTGATGTTCTCGTGAAGTACAGATCTCAGAATTTTTTCAGACTTTTCAAAAGTCAGAAACAGAAAAAAAAAAATGAAAAATAAAATTAGTTGTAAACGAGCCAAATTGCTGGCAGAAGATAATTTTACAATGCTAGCTGTTATTAATTACATCGAACATTGGCCACTCTCACTACAGTTCTCGTGATGTTCAGTACATGGTTCTTTTTTAGTTGCTCTCTTGAGATGATTGACATCGAATAAATTTATCGAATGAAGTGAGAGAAAACGAAGACTCTTTCATTTCGTTTTCCGCGATTTTCTCTAAAATGGACTTTTTTTTTAATTTTGCCAATCCTCGCGTTCTTCTCAAAGTTTTGACATTTAAATTCGAGATGCCATAAATCCGCGTGCTCGATTTTATTTTGTCACGTAGAAATTCGTACGTACGCGATTAATCGAACGACGAAAAGCGAAAATGTCGAACGCGTGGGAAAATACACAGACGTTCACATAAGTGGAATAACGCAGCAGGTAATGAACGAATCGTCGAAGTGGCTGCCTCTTTCCCCGATCGGATTCCGCGCTTATTTCAAAACATTCATCGAAATGAATTCAACTCACGAATCCAACGCGATTAGGCAAAATTTCAGCAGAGCGCGCCGATCGTTTTCGACGATCGCTTCTTTTTTCATCTCATTTCCTTTCGAAACTCCTCGTCGTTTTTCGCGCCTCGATTATTTTTCGCTGAATCTTCGGCGAACGTTCCCCTTCGATAAACAAACGTTGGATGCAGAACAAAAGTTCTGCCAAAGAAAAAGTAGTCGCCCACGCGCGTCTTCTTCACAGCGAGACGTTCAAATAAAACGCAACATGATCGCGTATGATCTTACAACGTAAAAATGCGTCATGCTTGTACGAACAATTTGACTGGCGAAAAGAAGTGAAATTTCTCTCGAAGAGACGAGAAAATGTCTTAGACATTTATATATATTCTTTAATATTCTCTCGTTTTCCAGAGTATAAATATTCAAAGTTCCCATCTACGTGAAATTACTCAAATAAACAAAGTAACAAAACTTCGACCTGCGAAAAGACATTATCCTTCCTAATAACGGAGGCGGGCAGATCCTCCGCTCGTTTCTAGATTACGTGTTTTCTCTTCGTGCTTTTCGAAAACGTTTCATCCTCGCCAAGCGCACGTGGTCGCCGAGTACGCGGCAATTAATCAATCGTTTCGAATAGAGAAACGCAACGCTCAACTATTTTCAGCGCGGAACAGCTAACCAGCGATTAATCAGCCGGCATTTCGAATAGAAACGCGACGCTTAATCATTCACCGGCGAACGTAACTCCGCTGAAACTGGCGTCGACTGGAGTTTGGCGAACTATCTCGCGCAGGTAATAAACCGAGAAGGGATATTCCACGCCGTTTTACGACACGCTTCGCGAGGGAGAGACTACTGGCTTCCTATACCTGAATATCTACCCGGTTACCTGACGCCCTCGATTCGACCATCGTTGACAAATCACATCGATAACGAACGTCCATCTTCGCCCACACCGTGCTGCCCTCGTTTCGCGTTAATGTCGCTTCACGTACGCGCCAATCGAGCCAAACTCCTCGATGTATTGTACGAATCGCGAATGAGCGACAACGCGCCTCGAATTAAAAAATGGAACTACCAAAACGGTCAAAATGACCAATCTGCAATTTTGGATATTTATTGTTGGATATTTTATAGTGCATTTCTAGAGATTCAAATGATTTTTCGTAAAATGTACAAATAAAAGTAATTGTGTGTACTTCGTTGTTATTATAAGGTTCTTTTTTCTTTTTACTCTGACACTTTTGACGGAAGTTTCACGTTTTAACCTCTTGCGCTGGAATGACGTGCCACGCACGTCGAGAGTTTTTTTGTTCCAAAATTGCCATATTTTCTCAGTTTTAAGTATATTTAAATGAAACGAAATAGGCAAAACAAATAATAAACTTATCACTTCTCAATTTATTATATCGACGAGTTCAAGAAGACGAATTATTGTATACAGTGTTTGGTCACTCGTTATGGTCCGCGAATCAGTTGCCACCGCAAGTTAATTGCCAGTAGTTCTAGCGTTGACGTTTCGCCTCCTTCTGTGCACTTTTTACGAGAAAATCGCGGTCAAATGCGGGTTTGATCGCGAAAATTCGTCGTTCAGTTCCGAAGATACCGAATGGTTTATCTTCTTACAGTTCTTTCAGTTCGACTATCAATTTTCACTTTGATTACCACGGCAAAATAGTCAGATTGCTCAACAAACTCTGATATTTAGATCTTTTTCTGGAATCCACAAAAAGGAAAAAAGAATGGGGCTCAGAAAATGAAGGATTGGCGAAGAGAATTTAAAAGTGCTCGCTTTAAAAGAATCGAGAAGGAATTCCTAGTCGACGCGTCGTTTGCACCTTTTTCAGAAAGAATCCAGAGAGATTTCTATCCGATCATTTTCGTCCGTTTTAACCGGTCAATGGGGAGAAACTTCTCTTCGTTTACTACTCGGAGGTCCTTTCGGGGATCGACAATCTCCCGTCGAAACTACTTTAAGCCTTAAAGATGCCCCTTTGAGACCTGTTCTTGGAGATAAGTCCGTTGTGCATGGAACGTTAATTCAGTGTGTACGAGCACGCTGGCTGATGGAGTGCTAATTAGAGTGCTTAGAGACCAGCGCCAATAATAAAAAGATCGCTTCTACGGAGTTGCGAGAAGTGTCGTCCTACCTACTTGGAAAAGTCGGGATATGTCTGTGGCATCCGCGTTGTGAAGTCACGTCAGAGAGGATGCTGTCCCGTACCATGAGCTAATTTAGCATAAAACACGCGTCAGAGGTGAAACAATTACACCGGTCGATGGCTCGAGTTGTTGCAGCGTTCGCGAAACCGCCACGGTCGAGGAAAGGAGAAAACGGAGAAGCGCACGATCCACACGGGCAACCCGCTCCTTTTGCGAGCCAACCTGTGTAACGTAACAATGAGTCGGAGCGCGTCATAGCGCCGAGTTCGCGAACGTCGCAGGTGTCCACGTACGTTCGTCGATCGGTTTCTACAATGTGCACCGATTCCTACACAGTCGACCTTTACGGTTGCTTTCGCAACGCGCAATCGCCGATCCATCATCGACTTTTGTTCAACGATCGACGAGGGATTGCCGATACACATCGATCGATGTGTGTGTGTGTGTGTGTGTGAAAATATTCAACGCAAACCGACAGGTGTCCAGAGAAAATTTATTTATAACGTCCTCAATGGTCTCTCGTTGCTCCAAAGTGACTCGTTTCTCAGAAAAGAAACACGTCGATCTTTTTTTTTTTTTTTTTTGTTTTGTTTTGTTCTGTTTTGTTTAAGAAATAGCCGTTCAGGTGTTCGATGTTTGTTTCTCGAAGCGTTTACATTTAGCCTTTGAATATTCAAAGCGTCGGCGAACGTTTGGGAAAAGGGATGTGCCTTTTTATGCTAGTCTTTCGACCCGCGTTCATCATTCATTCACACAGCCGATGCAAAACCGATCGTGTTTCTGTGCAGTAACGCGGTAACGTTGTTGGTGTATCGTCTAACGAACGGATGCTGCGGGGATTTTTAACGTACAACACACGACAAAGCTTCGACCAAGGGGGGATAATTGCTTTTAATCATTTCCACTTTCGTCCGCGGCACATATCCCATCCATTAAATTCGCGAAATAATTCCATTACATCGTCCAGCGTGTAATTACGCGCTCTCCCATTAAACCGCCGACTCGAAATATCATACCGTAATATGATTACCGTGTGAAAATCGATAGTTTGGATAGTTTCGACAATTTTCGTGCCGTTTCGATGCAACAAAACTGAAATAATGCTCCAACGTGCTCGCGCTCGGGGCGTTCAGACCCCGAAGATTCCACCTCGCGAAGAAACCGGCACACGTTCCGCCCGTAAAATTATTCCGAAACGCGTCGAATTCCTTTCGGTCGGCGCGAAACGAAACCTGCATCCCATAAAATATTCGAAACTCCTCCAGACTCACTTATATTTGTCCCGGACCCTCCAAATACGTGCATTTACTAGTTTTTTCTTTTTGCAAATTCCACGAAGTGATCAAAAGATCATGGTTAAAACGGTGCTGTATCGATCGATTTTACCGATTTTTCCTCGCGAGGGAGAATTCGCCTTCACCGGTAGAACAACGCGCGCCACAATTTTCGAAATTGTCCAGGGTCAACCGCGAGGATCTATCGCGATAACGAAAAGATTATTTTTCGTGCACGAGCCGAGAGAGAATTCGATGACAGTCGGTTTTTGTTTGAATGTCTGCTCGGGGGAATACGTTTTGTTATCACAACCGCCGATGACGCGTAAAGATAAAGTACAAAATAGTCGCGGGTCGGAGTTAATTCTGTCGGACGAACCGAAATTGCAAATTGTTATTGTGTAGCTCTTTGATTGAGTCAGGAGAAATGCTGTGTACAGCCATTGATAATTGGAACATTTGATAATTGGGAATCGATAGTATGATTGACTGTTACATTAACGATATTACCAGTCAGTAAACGAAATTCAATTAAATATGAATCGAGTGAATTTAAACACTCGGGAATTACGGGAAACGACATTGAATAAATTAATAGTAACCTTTTAATTCTTCCAAACTTCGACGATGTATTCTACATTTAAAAGTCTTTCAATCTCTTGCCAAATTCAATAGTAATCGTATGTTCACGGATCTTTCAATTTCGTAAAGTCTCGGTCGAAGTCTCAAGATAAAATTCCAACAATCTGAATTCATCCATCTCCAGCTTCCGAATTTTCCGATTTCTCGAAATTTCAACAGCCCGGAACTTCAATAACCAAAGTCTTTCGAAATATCATCAAACTTCAACAGTCGCAAGTGTATAACGAGTACACTGATCGTATCCTAGCGATCTATTGATCCATGCCGGTAGGATAAAAGTTCCAGTTTGTTTCGCGAACGATACGAAAGGCAAAGTCGAATTTTCTACTCACTGGCTAGTCTCTAGATGAAGTCTGAGTCCTCCCGAGTCTCCTCCTCGTTGGATGGTGAGCGCGACGTGCACGTCGCGTGGTGAGTTTCGGACCGGGAGCCGGTTCCGAGATGTTGTGTCGGTTGTCTGAGACGAGACTGCGACAGAGGAGAGCGAGGAGAGAGAAAGAAAGAAAGAGAAAGTGAGAGAGAGAGAGAGAGAGAGAGAGAGAAAGAGAGTGAGAAAAAGAGAGAAAGAAGCGTAGCACGTGGCGGGAAAGCAAGGAGCGCGACCGCAAAAACGGCAGGCTACGACACGACCTCGCCGACGGTCGCAACCAGACTGAACTTCCAGCCAGGCGGCCGCTCCAGTCTGGAAACAGCTGCACCGCCAACCAGCGCCAGAAAACTACTCGGTCGCCTGACGGAGCCGGCAAGCCGCGCCAAGTGTATCCTCCGCGAGTGCCACCACGATCGGTCCATGGAAGGGGCACGGAAGGCGAAGTGGAGAAATCACGTTTCACCCTATTGGGACCGCCTGATCCGCCTGTTGTTCGCCTACTGGTTGCTGATCGGAGCGAGACCGGGAGATCGAGTCGTGTTCGTCCTCGCAGTTAAACAGCCGTCCGTTAAGCAGCAGTCAATTAGAACTTTGATCTTGAAGCTCTTCGAGCTGTTTCTCCTTTGTATTGTTTCTTTTCGTTGGTCTGGCGCGAGTTGATTTACGATTGGACATTAGCGAGGAGATGCTTCTGGTCGTAAGATTCGCGACTCGTGATAGGTAGCAGTCGGTTAGAACTGTTTTTCCTCTTTCGCAGACTCGACGCCGAGGGTTGGTTTGTGATTAAACAGTCGGCCAGACAGTTGCTCTCTCCGATTTAATTTGTAACCGTGTCGGATGAGGTTGTCTCCAAGTCAATTAGAGCTTCGGCTTTCCTTGGATTTTCTTTCGATGATTCAACGCGAGATGATTTACGATTGATTTACACTTGGCTTGACTCGTGACTTATTGGCTCCAAGTAGACTGCTGTCAATTGAAACTTGAGTTTTCCAAATTTCCGAATTTACCTGCTTTGGTAGGTTCGACGTGGGTTGGTTTACGATTAAACATTGATTGACAAGGAATTGCTTCTGGTTCGTAACTCGTGTTGGACGAAGTTTAGACTTTAGATTTTCTATTTAAATAATGTATGAAAGTACGATGCTTTTCACTTATTTGAAAGTGAACATTCTGAATTATCGACGAAACTATTACACAGTCCATTCCGTTTAAACACAAATTGTTCGTACAATTGCAAAACCCCGTGCCAAAGATCTGCAGAGAAGGTGTGAGAAAAGTATCTGGCCGGTGGCAGGATAACGTATCGCTGGCGTAGCAGGCAAGACGCCCCCACGGGTATATATCGGGGCTATTACCTGAAAAAGCGAATACTCCCCTTCACTGGCAGCTGCTCTCCCGTCCAAATATTTACATTTTCGTATGAGGCCCTGGGTCGTTCACACGAGGCCTGCAACTTGCGCAGCCCGCTTAAACGCGGCGAAACGGGGATGCAAATTCAAAACGAAGAACCACCATTGCCTCGGCGCGTCCTTCGATCGCCTCGTTGAAAAAATAGCGTACCGCAGGGTGTACTGCACTGTTCTTCCTCGTGTCACGAATCAGTCAGTCGTAAAGATCCAACGCGTGAAACATGACTGGGGAAGATCGAGGGCCAGAAACACTGGACGAACGATTCGACAAATCTTCTGCGTGCCTGTGTATCACTCTTTCGTTACCAGAGAATTATGTAACCGTCAAATAATACGTATGATAGATTAAACTTCTTTGATCCTTTGTCTCAGAATTCGTAGCACGAAACTCTGATTTCGACTTGAGAGCAGTGGAAAATTGCAGATCCATGGATTTCGAATCCAAATTTCAATTTTTAGAATGTAGGGCTGACGTGACTAATGTAAATTGATGTTTAACTAATAGGTAGATTCGAAAAAGAATTAAACGAACCACTTGGAAATTCCAAAATTAATGATTAACGCGTTACGATCGCGTTCAGCCAAGAATTTTCTTCGGCAGCTCGCTGTAAAGCAACACCTGTGCCGTAATGCGTTGGTCTCGGGTTTATTACGTGCAGCGTGTCGTTGTCGAAATCCCAACTACCATGACTGCCAGAGCACGTTTATTGGGCGAAATTCAAGGGGAGGAAAGTTTCGCTGCGGATCGTTCAGCGACCGGCAGTTCAAATCGAATGACACGAAACTCCAGCTGATAACGACGAATTTTGAGAATCGTTCAAGCATTGCACATAGCAGTGTGCATTCTAAGCTTATCAGTGTTTTTAACAGCGATTTAGACACGCGCGCTTCAAATTTGCTTATGCCACGCCGGCAACTGCTCGGTAAACCATGGCAACTATTAACGTAGGCGCTATCTTCGATGCGGATGCTGTCTCCTCTCTTCTGTTAGCATCTTCCTTCCCTTCCCTCTGTTCCTTTTCTTTCACGGTCATCTGTACGGTTCTTACGTGACTTTTCACACTGTTTTCTATCATTAAAAATATATTCTGCGCTGCAAGTTATTTCATTGTTGATTTTTTATAAAATCCTGCTTGTTTCCGATAGCGGACTGCAAATTTCCGTAGAAAAACTGTACATCCTTCTTTGTCTCCTTGTTCATTCATCTCTCTCCCTGAAGAATCTTCTTTAAAAAACGATATAAAGACAAAAGTTCAGAGAAATTTATTTTACATCTACTACATGTAATACCTCCATGTTTTGCATATTTTGCGCATTGCAGGCAGTCTGCGCCTGCAACTTCCAGTTGTCCCATGAATTCATAAAAATTCGCCGTTCTAGTTACTCACTCACGGTTAGTCAGAGTTTCAAACAATTAAGACAACGCAGCGTAACTCGTTGTCAGCGTTAACCTCAAGTACGTTGCAACTGAACGTCGACTCGTGATTAAAACTTGCGAAGTGGTTAAGCTCTTGCCAGAGCTCTTCCTTCTTCAGCTCGACACTCGACATCGCTGAAATCACTTTCCTCGTTTTTTGCCACTCGTCTTGGGCCTTCCTTCAACAGGAGTCCGTCCGGCGAGAAACAAATCATAGCTCTTGTAGAAGCCATCGAAAAGGCAGAGGCCACTTGTTCAGGCCGTCGTTCGTCGAGTATTCAGCAAGCCCGAGCACGCTGGCGTCGTGTGCTCGCTTTGACCGAGTCGCATGCATAACTAAGTCCTCGTCGATCGGCTATTTATTTAGACTGCAGGCTGGAAAGTCGATGGCGCCAGAATATTTGCGATATTGCGGAGACTGAGGCCCGGAGAGGTGGACGGTCCAGGTGAAATGTTCATACGTTTTCGTAGAAGCTGCGCACAGGCTCTCGGGTGTCTATCTCCTCTTCAGGTGGGGAAATATGTCGTGAAAAGGCAAACTTGCATGTACGTGCATCCATACACGGTGGTTAGCGTTCCTGCGCTCGGTTGCAACCTGGAGAAAATGGTGCGCCACGTGAAGGTGGAAACCTCGTGATGAATTCGTTTGCGCTACGATGTACAAACGTTGGTAAGCTGAGAAGCTTAGTTTACTCCACTTGATTCTGCTAATAGTTGCTGCTATTAGTTTTTAATTAAGCAGATATGATCAATGCGTGTCTTTTATTTTTATATGTTTGTTAATCTAATGAACTGAAGTCCATTGAACTGCTATCTTTTGATTAATTAATTAAAGCAGAGTATTACCTCTATAAATTCCCATTATACCTCTCCGACGAAAGTAAATTTCCATTTGGTGTACGTTCGATGGCAATTCAAATCTGGGCCATCAATCGAAAATAATCGAGGCGAACGTGGAAATTCCAGGAAATTCGTGAATACGTACGTACAAAGGACGGAAGGTAAACTGTAAATTTCGTCCTGACTCTCCTATATTAAATTGCACTTCAGTTTCGCCAATTAGAATGCACGACCGGAGCAACACGGTTCACTTTACGTTCGCTGCAACAATCCATTATTATCGAATGAGCAAGAGTTCGCGAGTGGAACGCGTGGCCAGAGAGGAAATATCCGAATAACGAAATACCAGGCAGCAAAAGCTCACTCCTTATCCCGTTGTCCCGTTTCATTCTCATCGAAACATAATTCCATTACAATTATTACGATGTTTCGTGCAGCACGATCTCCCACCGCTCCCTGGCAAATTCACAAGTTTCGTCGAAAACCGGCCAACTTTGTGACTCGTTTTGGCGTAATTATTCCGTTTTGCTGCAGCCGTAGCGACCTGTCAGCTAGCCGCTCACGCGAATGCTTTCGTCTGACGCGTCTATTCCTTTCCGGTTGGCTCGAGGGCGTAATTAAAATCTCGTAGATCACGCGTAAACGTGTCTCGATGGTATGTAATAATGATGTGTTTATCGCGGGATAATTGCGCGAACTAGTACTCGATCTCGCTTTGATCCTGACGATCGTTTGAAAACATCGACGCGTTAATCGACGCATTTCGAGTAATTATTCCGTCAACGCGGCATCTTAACGGGGAGGATTCGTTATTTTATAATGAGATCTATCAACAGCCTGAAGAAGCCAATCGAAGTTTCAAGAAGCATTGTCAATTAACACGTTGATTGCCACCGAAGACTGGTTTCAGAATGAAAAGAACTTTGAACAAGCGAACTACCAAACGAACAATCCGCTGTCGTCGCGCTTCTGCTGTAACTTTGTAAAATTAGGTACTCTGTCTTGTAGACGAAACGTATAAATTAGTGTCAAGGTGAAATTATTGCGATATTTCAATCGTAATATCGCTTGTAAATGAAAGTATCCTGAGAACGTGAAGAACGTACGTATCACTCCAAGCTACTGTACGTCGTACATACATACAATAGTCCCCGGTGTGGCGTATGAATAAAATCGTGCATTCACGGGAATCTCCTCGGTAAATTTTCTATTCAGAATTCCATGAAACGGCGTGCGCGCGTATTACGACGAGTGTTTCATGGCCGAGTTCCCAGAAAGTTTATTGGAAAAACCGATATATCCGAGCGCGGACTCGCCGGTGGGTATTCTCCCCTGGGGACACTCTTGCTTTTATCATTAACCACGAGGACGCAAGAATGTTGGCTGATAGTACGTTAAAAGGTAGCACGCGAGATAAGCACCGGGAAGGTTAGATAGGAGAATGTGTGTCGAGTAGTCTGCGACACTTTCGAATCCGTAGCAGGGCTGCTGCAGGCTCGAGGAGCTCCGCTGTGTGCGTCATACATAATGCAGCGACAAAGTAGAGATGAACGGCTGCCTGGGTAACGGGCATGTTAAATCCGCAATGCAAATTTCACGCGAAAACTTCCGATCGGCCGTCCCATCGCTTCGCGACGAATTCCTGTTTTTCATCAATAATTTAGCCTCGCTTTCTTCTCTCTCTCTCTCTCTCTCTCTCTCTCTCTCCCCTGCTCGAGCCAGTCAGAGCGTGCGAACTTCCCATCGAGAGTATCTGGCGTCTTCATCTCCGCTTTCTTTCAATAAGAATAGAATACATTTGCTTTGCAGTCAAGGGAGAATGAACGTCGGGATCTACGATGAATACGTTTTCCCAAAAAACTCACTCCCCGTTGGTTGGCTCGACTCCTCGTTGTTGATCGCATCTGGCGGTATTCTTGTCTCGTAACTCGTTTCCTTTTCATTTTTCCTTCATTTCTTTCCCGTCGCGTATTCGTTCTTTGCACATCGTGCGTATCTAGTTCTTATGCCACAGCATAAAGAACTTCGTGTTGTATAGGTTAATCGAATTGAGTCGTTCATCTTCACCCCGATCGAAACATCCCCTTCGTTCAGCCTGATCGCAAGTAAGAACTGGCTACGGTGCTCACGTGCTGAGGCCACGTTAGACGAGCGGCTCCCCGTCTCATTTACCAATAGACAGATCGGATTACCGGCGGACCACCAGCGGATAGAGAGCAAGAGTTACTTTACGGTGAATTAGGTCACCTGTTCCTCCGGTCGCCGCAGACAGGAAGTCGTTGAAGTTCGTCGATTACGCGGTGGTACAATCCCCCGTGGTTCATTAACGTGTACCATTCAGTCAGTCAGTTGTGACGCATTTTTTAACGAGTTGGTTACTTCAATGGCAAACGAAAGGAGAGAAGGTTCACGACGACGTACCGGCAACCTGTACCAAGTTCTCATCATTGTATCCATTATCTGGCTATTTACATAAGGCTGACGGCCGCTTGTAATTAAAATGTGCGGCTTGATTAAAACGATGCGTGTAATCGGTCGCGTGAAAGTATAAGAAGAGGCCTCTATCCGCCTTGTTTCCTCTATAGTCGTTAGCGGCCTGTCTCCTCAACGATTAGATCTTCACCCTTGCGGCATTTTCGTCTCCACAACGACAAAGCCACGGCATATCCCGGATGCGATGATTATCGTTAAGAATCACCGAGTCTTGCCGACTCTCCTCCTGCCCCTTACTTTCGCCAATCTGTTTCGTTGCCTCTTTTTCCTTCTTTCGATCGTTGGCTGGCCATTCCTCTCTTTCCTGTCTTCGAGACAGGACGACCACGTGCGCTCTGTCAAGGCCCACGCGACACCCATTACGAGCAATCGGCCCTTCAAATGCGCCATAAACGACACGGGCGATTCTTCAATCTCGCCCTGGAATGCGTCTTCAGCAAGTGGTCACGCTTGGTGGAATTATAATATTATCTAGTTGGAGCGCAACCGGACAAGAAGAATCACTCGGCTCGTTATGCAACAACGTGCGGTTCTCGAGACGTGATCGTTGAAAATTCTTTCTTGCAACATATGACGAGCGCGAATGGTGTGATGATAGTCGTTCGACGTACAGTTAAAGGCATGCTACAGTGCAAGCAATGACTTTATATTTCTTTCTACACGTCTGTGACGCGGCGTTGTATATTCGTATATAAATTAAACGCACGAGCCGTCAAGATGAAAGAGAGCTGTCTTTACAAAAGTGTTTTACATGTATGCTCGCGTACAATACATTTTCTCGTACAGTATAAAATTACTTTCCTGTTTACACACTCACGAAATATTATAATCTTACTGTATTACCGTACTTACATTACACGGCACAATTACTAGTATATTACAGACATTCGAGCGCCTTACGACAAAAAATTCAATGACAGAAACATATGTTGAAGAGTTGCTAATTACAAGTGCACGTCGATTAATACCGCTATTATACATCGTTAAGGAAATCCGACGATAGACAGTCGTGTACAATCGGAAGAAAACCGATTATATAGAAACATTAAGTAAATCCAGCGTAATATTATTTAAAGTTATAGAATTCAGCTTAATAATTCACACAGGGAAAAATAATATTGATCATTTCCCCTAGCACCACCACACAAACAATCACTAAAACTAAGCGATAAATTAATCGTTCCATTCTATTACAAAATAAGTAATATGCTTCAAGGATTCGCTGTTTGAACTCAATACTACTGAATACTATCACGAATAATAAATAAAATTACGTATGAAACATTGCTATGAAACAAAATTGAAATAAATATCAATTACGTACACACAAAACATCAATTTCGTTACAGAAGTGTTCTTTTTCCGCTTTAAATTAAGAACATGTACCCGTTGATATTCTAAATTATAGAAAATTCAATTTGGACGGGGAATCTTTTGGCACGTACTGGTCCATAGCATAATGGCACTTTCCGAAGCCACTTTCTCAGAAGTGGATAAGTCAATCGTATTGATATTTTCTAGAGTTGTTCTACTATGTCATGATCGTTCTTGTAAGGAGTTTGTTTGATACTATTTCTTTGAGAATGCTTCGTCTTTTGTAATTCCTTAGCGAAGTACATTATAGTCGTTTTAAGTCCTTCGGCTAGAGGAACTTTCGGTTCCCAATTCAAATACTTCTTAGCTCTACTAATATCGGGTCTCCTTCGTTGTGGATCATCTTCGACTGCGGCAAGTTCGACTATCTTACTATTAGTACCAACTAGATCCTTTATTATAAGGGCGAATTCTATAATCAATTACGATTCATTGTACATATATATCGTACAAAATAATCTAAAAGATTTTTCTAAAAGAATTTAATACCATATTTACCTTCTATTGTATGCTCGACAGGATTTCCAATGTTTATTGGTTGAGTATAATTAGACGCCATTAAGGCAACTAATCCATCGACTAAATCAGACACGTATTGAAAAGATCGCGTCTGTTTTCCACTGCCATATATCGTAATTGAATCATTCTGTAATGCCTGCAGAATAAAATTCGAAACTACACGACCGTCATTCATATGCATCCTTGGCCCAAATGTATTAAAAATTCGAGCAACGCGCACCGAGACACCTTCTTGTCTCATGTACGCGTAGCTTAATGTTTCCGCTACGCGTTTTCCTTCATCGTAACAAGCTCTTGGACCTATAAAAATTTCAATCGTGAATTTTTACTTATTATTTCATATTCCATTGATCGAACATAATTGCAATAATGTTTTTTTTTATACCTATAGGATTCACATGGCCCCAATAAGTTTCTGACTGAGGATGCTCGTTAGGATCTCCATAAACCTCAGATGTACTAGCTATTAAAACTTTTGCTCCTACCCTTTTTGCAAGACCTGATATATAATTAAATAGTCATGTTTATTGATTATTTAAATAGGTTCTCAACAATTAAATAAACATACTGTTAACATACCTAAGATATTTATTGTACCTAACGTATTTGTTTTTATCGTTTTGACTGGATTAAGCATATAATGTGGTGGACTAGCTGGGCTAGCAAGATGATATATCTCATCAACCTCTAAGTAAAGAGGTCTGACAATGTCATGGTGAACAAGTTCAAAGTTCTCATGGCCAACCCAATGTTCAACATTACGCTTTCTTCCAGTAAAAAAATTATCTACAACTATTACTTCGTGGCCAGCAAGCATCAAACGGTCAACCAAATGTGACCCAACAAAGCCTGCTCCACCTGTGACCAATATCCTTTTCCGGTTTTTATAATTGAGGAATTTGACCGTTGGGAAATCTTTCGACACCTTGTTCTCAATCTTGGTTTCAAGATGTTGCAATTTACCCTCCAATTCACGAATCCGTATTTTTGCTTCTTCGATATTTTTGATATCTGTGTAACGTGCATTGTCATCAGTCTCTTGAACTTTCTCATTGACAGTTTCAATCTCGTTTATATCCCCTAAGCGAGATTTACGATCTCTCGGATGAAGTCGGGTGAAAGATTGTTCATCTTCTGGATTAACTAACGTTTTGTAAAATCCTAACACTGCAAGAAGGTATATGACATTGACATTATCGCCCAAGGACAAGCATTCACAGCTGCAAGGAATTAATTTGTATTGCAATCAAAATATTTACCTAATATTATACAAATCACGGAAAAGGCAACCTGTTTCATCTTTCGTGGCGTGACAACCATGCTTCAACATTGCACGTGTCATTGAAAATTTACTTTATATTTCCCATGAACTTGTCATAGATTAAAGTTACAGTATCACACGATAAAGAGAAGAGCGTTCGATCCCAACATGTTATTTTCTGATTTTTATAATAGGACATAACCTCTTAAATCATTACTGTTTATCACGAAATTCACAATACTTCAAACACTATTTTACTTAATTATTGATGTAATGTTGGTGCTGCTATCTGAGCACCCTGAGGCAAACGTTTCACAAATTTTGTTTCTTATTGTCTGTTTGGTCTGACGTATCGTGGACTGATAACTTAACCTCAAATTTTTCAGTAAACACTCACGCAGGCGCAGATGCTGTTTTTTGATTGATATATAAGGCTGTGGCAGTACAAAGGAAACATCTCAAGTAGTTTTTCTGGAGTCGCAGTGACAGTGGCATTTGAAATATGGCAGAGGTCATTGATTGCAATTTTCCTGTTTGGGGCCTTTTACCTAAAAAAGAGACTGGTGTCACTCAATTTCTTACCAAATATCCGGAATACGATGGTCGAGGAGTTATCATTGCAATTTTCGATTCAGGGATTGATCCTGGGGCTCCTGGCATGCAGGTAAGCTTTTACATAGACACACCTCACGATTATCCAAATCATTGTACTTGTCATTTTTTTTTTTTTTCCTTTTTTATAATCCGATATAATTTTCTTCATGATTTTGTCCCTAAAAAAACGCGTAATGTCAAAAGTTATGACGTGCTAAACTGTTTCTCGTAAATTTCTTTGTCTTTTTTTTATGTACAAAGTGAAAGAATAATTTTATGTTAAATTTTTAATTTAAATTTATTCGTCTTTCATCATTTTTTATATTCATATTTGTACATTTCCGGTGTAATCGTTGATTACTATTATATATCAAACTTTTTCTGGCTTAACAATAAATGGTTGAACATTGTTTACTATGGGATTAATAAGATAATTAAATGCTAAAAGCATTAGTCACTATTTACTATAAAAGTTTAGATTTGTTATCCTTTATTTTATTGTATGATAACACTTGTGAAATGATACAGCAGATTTTTCCTTAAACAAAAGGAAATGCTTGATTTTATAATGAATAGGAAACTTCAGATGGAAAGCCAAAAATTATTGAAAGATATGACTGTAGTGGGGCTGGAGACGTAGATACTAGTAAAGTTGTGCAAGCACCTGACGGATATATAACGGGAATAACCGGTCGTAAATTAAAGGTATAGTCCAAATAATGACTAAGATTAATATATACATATAATGATAACTAAAAAAAAATTGCTTCTTTGTCTTAGGTTCCATCCAGTTGGAAAAATCCCACTGGACATTATCACATTGGAGTAAAGAATTTGTATTCACTATATCCAGGAAAGTTAAGAGAAAGAGTATTAATAGAAAGAAAAAAAAAATTATGGGACACATGTCAAAAATCTGCACTTGCAGAAGCATCTAGGCAACTACAAGTAAATAAATTAATAATTGCATTTTGACTGTATTGAAAATAAGAAACCTTCATCTTTTGCACAAAACAATTTTATATGTTTGTCAGAAATTGATATCTCAGATTTAAGCTGATTCTGAAGTTAATTAAAAATATCATATTCAAGATTAAGAACATAAGAATAAATAGGCTTCTAGACCACGTGGTCCAAAGATAGGGTTGTTTTGGGTATGTTGAACCATGCAATCAAATGAGGCCAGTTTCACAATGTGTCACAGTGATCTGTATCTAATGCTATAATTATAATTGGCAGTTTGATCTATTGTAAAGCCATTGATTCATTACATAAGCCATATACATGATACTGTGTAACGTTTTTTTTATACTTTTTAATAGCGTGCTTGCAAACAAATTTAATTAAAATATAAGCAAATATTATGTGGGCATGTAATTTTTAGTAAATAAAAACAGACTTGATTTTTATATTATTTAACTATTATACATAGGAATTTGAGGTAAAAAATCCACAATTAAACAGTTTAAAAGAAAGACTAGAAAAGGAAGAGCTTGAAGCTAGAGTTGAAATATTAAATAATATAGAAAAAAAATACTCTGATGTAGGACCTACATATGACTGTGTTGTTTTTCATGATGGTGAAGTTTGGAGGTAAAGATATATGTTGAATATTTTGAATTTCTATTAAAATATTTTCTTTATTAACATATTTCTATTTATCCTTTATTTCTGTTACAGAGCATGCATTGACACTTCTGAAGAAGGTAACTTAGAAACTGGTGTCCTTTTAGGAGAATACACTTTGACAAGAGAATATGCACCTCTTATACCTGAAGATCAATTAAATATTAGTATTAATGTTCACGATGATGGAAATACATTAGAAATTGTTAGTTTATGCTGTAGGTATTAATGAGATTCGATTCATAACTTTGTTATGTTTTCGTAATTATAATTAATCTCATTATATTGCAGCAAGTCACGGTACACATGTAGCTTCAATTGCAGCAGCATATTTTCCTGATAATCCTGAATTAAATGGTGTAGCGCCTGGTGCTCAAATTATTTCATTAAGTGTGGGAGATGGCCGCATCGGTACAATGGAAACAGGAACTGCGGTAGTGCGTGCAATGATACATGTAATGAAACACAAAGAGAAAATACACATAATAAACATGAGTTATGGAGAACATGCTCATTGGTCTAATACGGGAAGAATAGGAGAATTAATGAATGAAGTTATCGATAAACATGGTGTAACGTGGGTAGCGTCTGCTGGTAATCTCGGACCTGCTTTGTGCACTATTGGTTAGTTAATAAGAATGTCTGAAAATTTTTAGTATGTATTCTAGTACATCCCATCCATTTTAAAATCATACAGGGACACCACCAGATATCAGTACTAATAGTGTGATTAGTGTTGGTGCCTATGTGTCTCCTGATATGATGGTAGCTGAATATTCTTTAAGAGAAAAAATGCCGGGCATGTCATATACGTGGTCATCTCGAGGGCCAATGATCGATGGTGGAGCTGGAATTACTGTATGCGCTCCAGGAGGAGCTATCACTAGTGTCCCTAATTTCACATTAAGAAAAAGTCAACTCATGAACGGCACGAGCATGGCTGCCCCTCACGTTACTGGAGCTATTGGTATATCGATTTTTTTTATAAAATATATGTTATATGAATGAGAAGCATTTTAATATAGTGTTTATTTTATAGCAATACTTATATCAGGACTTCTTGCGAAAGGTTGTCCTTTTTCTCCATATAGCATAAAAAGAGCGCTTGAAAACACAGCTTTATACATACAAAACCTAGATCCTTTTGCACAAGGTTCAGGATTGTTACAAGTTGAACGTGCGTTCGATAATCTTCTTACTTACAATGATGTACCTGAAAGGGATGTAAGATTTGCCATTAGCTGTGGGCCAAATAACGCCAAAGGAATTCACATGAGAAACGGTGTCATTAATCGATCAAAAGATTATGCCATTACTGTTGAACCTATATTCCTTAATAGCGAAAATACTGGTATAATTTTACGTCTGTTACAGTAATACTATATGTTTTAGTTGGATGTGATTTATTATAATATTTGGATGCTTTATAGACCCAGCACTTAAAATTGCTTTCAATTTGAAATTGACTTTGGTATGCGATGCATCTTGGGTACATTTTCCAACGCATTTTGATTTAATGAATATGGTTCGTGCATTTGCTATCAAAATTGATGGTTTTAATTTACCCGAAGGTGTTCATACAACGAGGTAAATACATTCGGATTGATATATTTTGCTTTTCGTATCAGTGACGTGTAATATCAGTGCTAATTGTCATTTATAGCGTGCGAGCATATGATGTAACAGATATTGCAAAAGGACCAGTGTTCCAAATACCAATAACTGTAGTGCAACCACAAACACTGCCAAAAACTGCGATCCTTCCAGACTTAGCGTATACAAATATTTTATTTAAACCGAATACAATTCGTCGACATTTTATTCTCGTTCCTGAAGATGCAACATGGGCGGGTATGCATTTTCTGCAATATTTATTTCATATGTACAGCATTGGACACATAAAATGAATGTTTTAACATAATTAAATTCAGTGGTTAGATTGAAGAGCACAGAAAGAGATAAAACTGGAAGATTTGTGATTCATAGCGTTCAACTGAAACCACGTTTGTCTTGTAAAACTCTAGAAGTTGATAAATTGTTGACTGTTACTTCTCAATCAGAAATTGTCCATCCATTTGCTGTTCAGGTATTATTGTCATACATTTTACGTTCAGTATTCTCAAATAATAATTTAAATATACATACATATTTTATTCATAGGGAGGATTGATCGTAGAAGTGGTTATTGGAAAATATTGGGCAAACATTGGTGACATGTTAGTCGATTATTACATAGAATTTCATGGTATCCATATGATAAATGGAAATCTTACAATGCAATCTGGCGATGGAATAAATCGCTTAGAAATACGAAGTTCTCTCAGGAATGAAGAAGTAGTACCCAATATTTGTCTTAAATCATCCGTACAAGTATTGAAGTATGTTAATTAAAAATGTTATAAACAAATTATTAATGAAAATGAATTGACATATTTTCTTTTCTGACATTACAGACCCACTGATGCAAAAATTATTCCTTTACGAGAACGAGATATTATTCCTCCTTCACGACAAATTTATGAATTGCAATTAACATATACTTTCCACTGCGCAAAAGCAACTGAAGTAACTCCAAATGCTGCATTACTTAGCGATTTATTGTATGAAAGCGAATACGAAAGTCAAATGTGGATGATTTATGATACTAATAAACAACTTATTTGTTGTGGAGACGCATATCCATTAAAAGTAAGTATAAGTATAAATTAACATTACATAATAAAGAAATAATACCATCTTTTATTGCAGTATGCTAATCAAAAATTAGAGAAAGGCGATTATACTTTAAAAATGCATGTACGTCATGAAAAGAAAGATTTACTCGATAGATTAACGGAAATGCCGTTCCTTTTAAGTCACAAGCTAAATAATCCAATTAATCTGGATGTATTTGCCAGTCAGTCACAAGCTATTATCGGTGGCAAGAAAATGATAGCAGCTTCAATTCCACCCGGTCATATTCTTCCTTTATATGTTGCCCCTCTGATTAATGAAAACAAGTAAGTGTTTTTTCCACATGCTGTACATGATAAGAATTAAAAAATGTCATTTATTGTGATACTAAGAAAAACATAATTTTGTTCTATTTTAAAATTCTACATTCATTTTGCGTATGTAGCGGTATATATATTATTTTCTTATGCAAATAAAACTTGGTGCATGGATACGTTTATTATTATTCAGAAATGTAAATGTTCAAAAGATGTTAGATCAGAAAATTATTAGAATTTACTATTGATTATTCTCTATTTTTTCGTATATTTGTCTACAAAAATATAAAATAATTTATGAAAAATTATTTTATATTTTTTTTATAAATCAAATGTTTCGAAAATATTACTAAGAAAATTTTCTTCTCGCATTGCAGCGCTGAAAACAAGTAAGTCTATAGCATTCTTTTTATAAACATTTTTAAACATTTACATGCTTTTAACCAAAAATATCAATAAAAACAGGTATTTTCCTTTATTAGATACTTCTATTTTATGCATTATTTCATTACATCTGCATTTTAATTTAATTTTACAAATTTGATTTTAATTCTTATATGCTTCATTATTTAAAAATATTTGATTTATTTATTGCTTAAATTTTAGATTTCAATATTTAGATTGATAGATGTAATTATATTTACATGTTAGAGGCTTTTTCTAATTATTTTTGCATAGGAGCTTAAATTTGTACGCTTTATGTATGCTTTCATAGGAATGCTATACACTTCCTTCTTATCTTAATTTTGCCTATTAACTTCGCGTGTTATTTCGCCCATAACATTTTTTAATAGTAGAGAAGCAATATCTATTATTAATTTGTTTAAAAAATACTAATTTTAATTTTATTTTAAAGAGTTTCCAAAAATACTGCCTTAGGAAGTGGTAGTTACTTACAGGGTTTATTAACCTTCTGCAAAGATGATAATGGAAAAAAAGTGGATTATCATTCATTTAAATATATTTTATCTGAACCAACCAAAAAATCTAGTAGTAGCAGTAGTAGCAATAGTTCTCACAATTCTTCATCAAAGGAGAAGAGTACCAAATGGGATGACTACAATGAAGCACTTAGGGATTTCAAATGCAGTTGGCTTACGAAGCTAGGTAATCAGATTTTTCACTCATCTAATATTTAGTTATATATAATTATATATTGTATAGGATATATTGTCATAAAAATATTTTTGTTTTCTTTTCCGGTTTCAATTCAACAAATAGCTCCTTCTACGAGTAAGTTTATTAGAGTGCAATAAAACGCTATTTCAAAATTTGTCTTGAAACCTTATACAGTTGTGTTTAAACGATTATCGAACATTCTTGTTGTCATTTGTTTTATTCCAGTGCACGATTATGTAACATGTATACAATAATTTACTATAATTTATCTTTCCCCCTGCGATGTTCGAAAAAAATTATTAGTAGTAATATTTATTACATATCAATATTATTTCGATACATACAAATATAATTACACACATTATAACAATTTATTTCAAACAGATTTATACAATCCTATTGTTTTTAATACAAGTGTATATCCGCAGAAGTATATTATATTGAAAATATAATTAACTTAATATTATTATTAATAGAACCTGGAGAATATGCAAATCTACTCTATGGAGAGTTAAAGACTCTCTTCTCTGATCATTTGCCCGTCCACACTGCCATGCTAATTTCTTTGGAATCACCTGAAGCTCGACGTCATGTACCACATGATGATATCTCAGAAGAATCTATTTCTCTGGCAAATCAAATAATAACTGTCGCAGATGCTGTGATTACAAATATTGATCAAGACAAACTCTTGGCCTATTATGGATTAAAGAGTGATCAACGCGACGATGCAGCAAAGATTAGAACAACTATGGAAAAACAGAAATTTAGCTTGATAAAAGCATTAGTAAAGAAAGGATGTGCATTAGCGCGATTGTACGTACACAGTATGAAAAAAGGAGAGGGAGATCGTCAATCATACGAACATTTATTAGAGAGTGTGACACATCATTGGCAAGAAGTACAAAAATTCGCTGAACCAACTGACATTAAGGCAAGAAGTTTTGAAATATGGTTGCAATTATTATTTAAAAATTATTATTATATATTTATGGAAAAAGTATGTAAAAATAAAATATTTTCTTTACTTGCAGATCATTACTCTCTCATTATGGCATGCCCATATTAATAATCATTATGGCCGCTATTTGAAATTATTATTACGTTATTATGAAGAACATCCATTAAAAGAAGTTGATGAAAAATGTATAGAACTTGCAAATATCTTAGGATGGGAACACTTGTCACGTCACATTAACACAAGTATACCATCGCGTTATCCTTCTACATACAGATCGTTTTGATTAACGGTAACTGATATTCATTTGATTTTATTTTTAAAATTAGTTGTGACATATAATGAAGTACACATCCTTTTTTTTTAGATATAATAAGATCAATTTGATATTTTGACAATGGAAACTAATCATGGCAAACAGTTTCCAATGCATCTTTATGGTAGAAGTATCTCTACCAAAGTTATTCAGATGTATTATACGCTTAGAAAAATATAATTTTATTCACATTTATAAAAAAAAAAGTATTGAAAAATGATTCTAGAAAAATATTTTAATTTTTGATTATAACAAATTAAGTAATATTAATTTTTACGATGTATAATTTATTTTATGGAAATCGTATCTCGCTTAATTAATTTTAACAAATCACGAAACATGATATAGCAATAGTAATATGACATATGTACTAAAAAAAATTTGAATACATTGCTGATTTTTATGCATTAACGACAATGTTAAAAAAGTATGACAATATGTGTATGTGTGTTTACACACAAAAGACATTATATCATTAAAAGTATCATTGTTTTAATAGTTCATTTTCATGGGGTTTAACACTTCAAAAGAGAAAGAAGCGCTAGAATATCATGGAAACTGTTAATTTAGAAATTAAAATTTTTGAACGATGATGTGTTGTTTAAAAATATTTATTTCAACAAATATCATTTAAAATCATTCAGATTTTTCCATTTTCACTATATATTAAATGTAAATATATATACATATTATATATATTATATATATATACAGGTATTTTCTTTATATTCGCAGTATAACTTTTGAATTGAATTCTGTTATTTATAACCATATACATGCAATATATTCAGTTTTTGTTGTCATTGTATTATTAAGTGCGATGATGTATATATAATAAGAAAAGAAAAAAATAATTAAAATACTATTTCAATTTTATAATGAACATAAAAGGAAATTCATATTTTTTTACATAATAATGGAACAAAAATGTTATAAATTCAATATTGGAAATAATTGGAAAATAATTGAATAATATTGATTGTGTTTACCATTCGTCGAAGTCAAGCTAAAAATAATAAATACACTAAATACTGATATTTTAAAAGAGAATAAAATACCTCATTTTTGGGAGAGAATTACACTACAATTTTAATTGTACGCTCAGTATGAACGTGTGTACTTTTGTAATTTAATTTGGGTGAACTTAAAAACAAATTCATTATTCAACTAGCTTCACGGCTCTTAATAGTTAGAACATCAAATTTTTTGTAAGAATATACTAAGTCAAGATAAGAAAAAAATGCTTTCATATGCAAAAATTTACAAGTAATAAATGACACGTCAGCTGAACATTGTATAAAGAATTATGTCCTTATCACCGTTGCTCAATTTTTATTTGTCTTCTTATACGAAAAACTATTTTGGAAATAGCGTGACAGTACTTTGGTACAATCAAGAATTTTCGCAAAGTCGATTCCCTCCAGGACAAACGAGTAAAATTTTATTTTATCTTTAACGTTCCAAATATGATATACAATCTTTCCATTTTAGTTAGCGAAGCATGTACTCTTATCTGTCTTCTTGTTGCTCAAAGAATATCTCAAACGAGATTGTTAATATACGATATAGAAAGATCCCACAAATTTATTACTATCGTAGCTGAAGCTATGATAGAGGGTAATACTATGCATGCATGGATTGTTAAGAAAGGTTTAGTTTCTCATCCCTATCTCAGTACAGAAGAGGCATTAAAACTTGGACGCAGAAGTTTAAGTCTATTAAGAGAATGGGTACAAAAGAAATTTACATTTTATCATTTCCTTTTTTGTAATAAAACATGCATGAACACAGGGAATAAAACAATATTAATTATATCACAGACATTTCGAATATTTTATGAAAGGATTCAAAACAGTTTATATCAACATATACGTAATTTCTTACACAAATGGTACTTGATGCCAAAGTCTAAGAATTTATTTATGCTTCTTATTACCTGTGGACAAACAGTATTGTTTATATTTCAAGAAAAGACTAATATGGTAAGATTACAGAAAATCTGTAAAAACTTCTATTACATGAAACTTTTATCTGTAGGTAACATTTTTTGACTCTCATAGTCATAGCACAATTACAAATCCAAATCGGGGATTAGTTATTGCCCAGGTAAGGATTTATAATTATAAGTAATAAGGCTGATATTTGATAAATACTGCAATATTTTATATTTTTAAGTGATAGTAATGCATGTCATATTAACAGTAAAAAAATAATACAGACAACTATAGACAAATTGGAACATTTATGCAATTGGTACACAAAGGACGTATTAAATAAATGCTACAATACAAAAGCAAATCAATACGAACTAGCTTTTTTATATCCATCCAATTCATCATGTGGCTGTAATCCTATATGCAACTGTGGTAATTGTTGCAGAAAACATAATAATAATTATACATAATCCTAGTTTTTCAAGTATCAATATGTAAATTTTTTAAAAGTTATACAAATATATAAAAAAAAAAATGTAAAATTTATATATGTAATTTTATTATGATTTGGGTGTTGTGTGTAATGATTATGGAATATTTTGTTCAATCAGACATATATCGATTAAGACTGACAGATTTATTTACATTATGTACAATTTCTTCCTAAAACTATTACAATTTTTAGTGTGTCCACGCAATGCATAAACTATTAAAAAAATAACGTAGTTTACCTCTAAAGATCGTATTTTTTTTCGTATCACTTAAATGAAATATAATATACATATTTTCCATGAACTTGTCTTTTGCATTGCGCCAACATATTTCTGACAATATTTTACTGGACTTTTCGTTTTGTAATGAATGCGTATGTCAGAACTTTCTTCATTTTATCTATTTCAACATTTTTATAAAATATAATCCAAAATTTCTGGACGACGTATTTTTTATATTGCTAAATCTCTACTTTGCACCTTTCAATGTCAATATATCTAAACTGATATAATGTTCTGATTCCTTAACTGTTAACCATAAAGTTGCAGAGATATATTTCTTTACATCATGTTTCTTTAATCTCTTTGTATTATATATAAATTACAGCGATTAGTAATCTTAAAAATTTGTGTACTAAACTACAAAAGCATTAATTACATACTGCTTAGTGAAGTAGGGAAAAAAATATGAAACTTAAAATGTTATTTATAACTTCAACACTTTGTAAAAACAGAAAATTTGTCATGAGAATTATTCTGTTTTTATAAATGTATTTGACTCGTGTATGTTTTAAAATCAATAAATATTTGTAATCACGATCTTTTAACATTATAAAAAAATATATTTAATCTGCATTAATTATAAATGAAACCCATAATTTAAACTTGTAAAAAATTCTTAATTTATTTTCCCTAACATTTATATGTCAGAGTTACAATATAAATATTAATCTTCACTAAAACAGAAACAAATCTTTTTTGTCACCATATAAATTGGTGATTGTAAAAAAGATAAGTATACCAGTGCCGGAATAGCATTATGTTTAAAATACAGATTTTTCTCTCTGTGTTTTTTTCTTTCCTTTTTTTTTTTGTATATATATATTACAAGTTTTCTGTAGAGTGTCGTAAAATTTATTTAATAACAATTTGTAACAACGTAATTTCTAGAAATTACTATCTACAAAAAATTATAAATGAATTATTTTTATGATTTCTCTTTTTTAAAGCCAAATTCGTGCAAAGAACACAATCAGCGATTTTTTTCAATTGTTTTCAAATATCGTCGGTAGTTGAGCAATATTTTTTACTAGCATTGTTTTTCCGAATAAACTGATTATACATCATATTACTTTGTACAGATGTATAATAATGCAATTCTTATGTAAAACTTTAATTGTAATTTAATTTGAGAATAAATGATATAGATAGATAAAGATTGATCTAAATGATATAGATCTTCTAGTTTTATGTGAAATTATGTTTTCACTTACAAGTAATAATTTTATATATATATACATATATATATGTATGTATATATATATATATATATATATATATCTATCTGTTTACATTACAGAGTTATTATACATTAAATTGATCCTAATAATTGTAATACTCCTGCTTCATTACCATGTATTCTGTACACAAAGTAAAATGATGCTCTATCAGAAAAATATGATCAAATATCACTTGAAGAATATACGATTTTATAATTGAATAAATAAAGCTTTTTTTTATATGAAGTTAAAAATGTAACAAAAAGATGTTAGAGGGACTGACGAATGCGGGGCTGTGCCCATTCTACAAAATCGTCTATCAGTACAGGCCAGGCTCCCTCTTCATCATAATTACTCATATCAGGATTAATCATAAGTGCAAAGTCTAATAATAAATTCCATGTATCTTTTGGAATTGACCTCTTATGGTGTTCCTAAAAAAATGCGTTAACTATTTGTATCATAATTTACCTAACCGTGTAAGCTTCCATTTTAGGTCTAATCAATATTTGCATTATATAAAAGTTCGCATATATACATTAGATATCTTACCTGTAAAAACTGGCACCATAAGGGCAGGAACTTAAATTTATCATCTAATACAATATTCCAATACGCAATTGCCATATCAAGATCCAAACCTTTCTGTCCTGGATTTTTTGCATAATTAAATGTAAATTGATAAAAGTCTTTAAATTTTTGAGAATCCCTTAATTCATTTTCTAAACTATTTAAACAGGCTTTTAATTTATCTATACTGTCCACACTAAAAAAAATGTTTAATAAATATCTAAATAACATTAAGTTCTTTCACTCAAAACAAAAAGAAAAAGACTAAAAAATTTGCTTTACCCCAAGTCTGTCATCCCATTCATAAATTCATCTTTAGTAAATTCACATTGTGTTTCTGCTCTAAATTTCCAGGCAATGATTAACACTAATTTGCTTTCAGGGCTCAAATCCAAATCATCCAAAAATTTCATTATTCCATCTGCTGTAATCTTGTCAGGTTCATTTGGATCTATTTCAATTATTAGTAGAAACATTATGTAAACAATTATACATCATGTATGGCTAATATATATCAAGTACATTCCACAGAATTACCTTGATATCGACTAAACAGTATTTCTAATTTCTTTTTATCTACTGTATTTTTTGGTTCCTTGCAATATGCTTCCGGATTTTGGAAATAATTATCACTTGCCAAGTCTAGCTTCCAATCATTTTGTGCTAAACAATATATTGCAGTTTGTTCTCCAGTATGTGTAAATGTTATAAATTTCTTTACCTTGTCTCTTTGTGAGAACTTTAACTTATGCTGTAACAGAAATCAATTACATTATTGTTATCACACATTCTAAATACTAATATCAAAGCTGTAAGCTTTTCCATTATACAACACTGAGCATCTGCGATTAATTAACGGAGAAATTCAATAGTGAATCATATATATACATTGCAATGCATTTTGATTTTTTGCAATGCCGAAATCAACATGGAAGAGAACGTATAAATTAAGATTTTGTTGCATATGACAGTGGCTATTGTTACTGCTTCAAGTAGCACTTCGTCAAATGATTTTTTGAAAATTTGGAAACACTTTGGTGACAATGAAGTTTCTCGGCTCAGAAATATCACGCACTATTCGGGCACTGTCGTTAACCAACAGGTATGTCACAAAATTGATTTATATTTACTGCACAAGACAACCGTTAACATCGACGATCACGATAGGTTATTTTAACATTTTTTTTTTACACACTGTCACGAACATACAAAGGAAACTGCAAATTTTCCAGTAAAATCAGATTACGAGAATCGCCAAATTAACATGATCCGTAAATTTATTAAGCACTCACCATTTTAGCTAATTTTAGGCCCCCGAAAGCCAAAATATTATTTCCTTCGCACTACACTTGACATGAACATGCGCATGTTCTGTGAAGGTCCTGAGAAATGCAAATATACCAACAAGGTTACAAAGCAATGCCACCAGACGTTACAGAAGGAAAGCAACTTTGAGAACAATGTAGCGGGTTATTTAAATGATTTACATACGTTTAATTTGTTAAACATCGCATTTTATGACACGATCAAATAAAAAAAATTGCCGAAAACGTCACGTGATTAACCGTCACGTCGGGTGGCATCAGTGAGAAATTTCTTTTTTCTTCTTTTTTTTTTTTTCTTTGCCTTTTGTAAAAGCTACGGCGATGAAAGTCCTCATGAAATAACAACAAAACGCTATCGTAAATATTGGCCCACGCAAATGAATACACACATCAAGTTACAAAGACGTATGTCAAAAGAGCAAATGAATAAACAATGAAAAAACAGCGATAGTAGTATTGATATTGTTTTCTAACAATTGTTAAATCAAAGTGATCCATTAATCGAAGATCTTGTTGTGATTTTGACAATTTTCTTTTTGCGCACTTGTATGTGGTTGAGTATTTTTCAACGAGGATGTACATAAAATAAGATATATTTCTTAAACTTTTTGTAATGATATTAATGATACGTTTATAATACAGTAATCGGACGAGTTTCTCGAAAAATGTGAATAGAGAACACTTTCTTTTTAGGTTATTAATCAGTAATGTTAATCAAAATTCTACAGTTATCATGTGCATGGTAAGGAACCTGTTTATTAGCATCATAATTCTGCTATTTGCTTTGCAGAGATGTTGATACTTTGTATGAAATTAAAAGTATAATAATGTCTTTTGATTGTGTTGACAGGAGTTTGTCAAACAATTACAAAGTAAGTTTATTGATTTGAAATTTGAAATAAACATGAATGATAATCTATAACACAATGGGAGGAAGTATATTTGAAGTACTTCCATTGTACCAGCAAAATGGAAATGGTAGAGAAATTTGTCATTGGATAACACATATCAAATTATCTAGAATTATAATATTAACATCAGCTGTTTTGTTCATTGTACCATTATTTACTCATTATTATTTATCAAAGGTATTGTTCTTGATTGTATATATTATGTCTTGCGCATATTATGTCTTTGATTAATTTAAAATCTGAAACATTATATATTTAGGTGGAGTCTGATTCTCCAGACAAAGATATTTATCGTACATTTTCCACATTGGAAGCTTTTGAAGATTTTACTCCAATGAAAGCTTCTCAATTGAAGATGAGAATAGAGGAGATGTTACGTATTAAAGTTTCTGTAAATAATGAACTAAGAGACTTGAGTGCAAAGAGACAAAGACTTCAAGTTGAAGTTAGTAGTTTAACTCAAAAAATTGATGAATTAAAGCAGGAATTATTACATCAGCAGACAGATCTTGACAGATTAAAAATCAGTGTTGAACAAGCACAAGTAGCTCAGAGAGAAGCAGTAGAAAGAAATACACCAGAATTAGCACCACCTAAGCGTATATTAGTGGATTCTGTTCCTATAGTATTACCTAGCACAGTTCCACTGTCATGTAGAATGTATAATTGTTTTGATCACAGTCGGTGTGCATTAACTAGCGGTTTTCCAGTATATTTGTATGATCCTGATCAGTATTCTGTGGTAAATTCTGGTTGGGATGTTGATGGATTTTTAAAAACTACGATAAAACAAACATTAGGTATGTATTTGGTTGAGTAATCGTTTACTACCTTTTTCTTGCAAAAATTCATATTTTTATTTTACAGGATACAATCCACATCTTACTACAAATGCAGTTGAAGCCTGTATATACATAGTACTCATAGGGGAAGCTCTCTCTACTCAACAAAAAGTAGATAAAAAATTTCATAAACCTATAGATGTAAAAAAATTACATACACTACCCTATTGGGGCGGAGATGGCAGAAATCATATTTTGCTAAACTTAGCGCGTAGAGATTTGTCTGTAGAATCGGGCGATATTTTTAGTGGAGTAGACACAGGAAGAGCTATAATAGTGCAATCAACGTTTTTTAGAAATCAATTTCGCGAAGGTTTTGATTTGGTTGTCCCGCCAATTTTGGGACCTCCTGGTGGCGATGTGTGGCAAGAATGTGCGCAAATGTTGCCAGCAAGAAGAAAATATTTATTATCTTTCCAAGGAGAGATGCGATCTTCGAGATCGACTATCGTGACACATCATATTGATGATACCGATATAGATATGGAAAGACTAACAGTCGACGAGAATAATTTGGATAACTTCATTATTCAACATCTTAAAGATATGAGTACAGGATTAACATTAGATAAATTCTTTATTCAATTTGAATGTATACCAGCTTCTGAGGAGAAAAATTTAATAGAAATATTTGACTGGTCTTTGTGTGGAACCGATTCATCGAGGAAAGCTATACTGAAGGAATCCACGTTTACTTTAATTTTAGCTCCTAGCAATGCCTCACTTGTAACTACTTCATCTATGCAAGCTAGATTATACGAAGCGTTGCGATCAGGATCCATTCCAGTTTTTTTAGGTGGCGATCAAATTTTATTAAGTTACAGTGAAGTTATTAGCTGGCGTCGAGCTGCCATATTTTTGCCAAAGGTAAAAATTGCAGTGTCTTTATGTTGATATTACTTTTGACCATTGGAGGTATTTGAAATTTTAGGCCAGGGTAACAGAAATGCATTTCTTATTACGTGCCGTTCTCGACACTGATCTTTTAAGTATGCGTAGACAAGGCAGATTAATATGGGAACGTTATTTAAGTACTGCTCAAGGTGCAGTAGATACTATTGTAGCTGTAATTAGAGATCGACTCGGTATACCACCCTTGCCAGCACCTCAGACTGCCAGTCCAAGTGTCTTTAATGAAAGCTTTGTGGTAAATGTTATAATATATTTGGTATGTTCTATATTGGCACATAATAATAATTACACTAATAATAATTTCTTTAGCCTTTAAAATCTGATACTATTATTGCTGAGCCAGAAGCGGAAGAAAGTTTGGGTCCGTTAGAGCCACCTTATCCATCTCCTGCTTTTAAAAGAAATTACACCACAATGTTACTTCAGGGACATGAAATCTGGAACGATTGGGTGGATCCGTTTTATTTGTACCCGCAATTACCATTTGATACCGTCCTTCCTAGTGACGCGAAATTTCTTGGTAAATAAACTTAATATTCATCATTTAATTACAGCGACTTTACTCGATACATTATAAACCGTAGGTTCGGAAATGGGATTCAGACCAATTGGCAAAGGTGCTGGAGGTGCGGGTAAAGAATTTAGCGAAGCTTTAGGTGGAAATTATCCAAGAGAACAGTTTACAATTGTGATGTTAACGTATGAACGAGAGCAAGTTCTTATAAATTCTTTGGCTCGATTGTATGGATTACCGTATTTAAATAAAGTTATAGTAGTATGGAACAGTCCAAAGCCACCCATGGAAGATTTAAAATGGCCTGATATTGGAGTTCCAATTCATGTAAGTTTTTTGAAAAAATTGCATAAAAATATTTAGTAACTTTAAACGAAAATAGTGATTTCTTTTTATATAGGTAATCAAGGCTCCGCGGAATAGTTTGAATAACAGGTTTCTTCCATTTGATGCTATCGAAACAGAAGCTGTTCTTTCAGTAGACGATGATGCACATTTACGACACGATGAAATTATGTTTGGATTCAGAGTGTGGAGAGAGCACAGAGATCGTGTGGTTGGATTTCCTGGACGCTTTCATGCATGGGACCAGAATTATCATAATGCTTGGAATTATAATTCTAATTATTCCTGCGAATTATCAATGGTTTTAACTGGTGCTGCGTTTATTCATAAACATTACACATATCTGTATACGCATTGGCTACCGCAAGCAATACGAGACAAGGTTGACGAATACATGAATTGCGAAGATATTGCCATGAATTTTCTGATATCTCATCTCACAAGGAAACCACCTGTTAAGGTGAATACAATAAGCATCGGATATTTTATTACTGTGCCCAACTATCTTAATTTCTTTCTCTTTGTTCAGGTTACATCACGGTGGACTTTCCGATGTCCTGGATGTCCGGTTTCTCTTTCGGAAGACGACACTCATTTTCAAGAAAGGCACAAATGCATCAATTTCTTCTCTCAGGTAAATAAGTTTTATTATTTTTGGTACCAAGTTACTCATTGGTTTTTAAATACATTTCGATGAAATGGGACACAATTGCAATGGTTCAACAATCGTAAATATCGAAATTTCAATAATTTCAGGTTTTTGGATACATGCCTCTCTTAAATACTCAATATCGAGCTGACTCTATATTATTTAAAACGAGAATTCCACATGATAAGCAAAAATGTTTTAAATTTATATAAAAAGAGAATAGAAATATATATATATATATATATATATATATATATATATATATATATATATATATATATATATATATATATATATATATATATATATATATATGTACATTCAGTAAATATCACTTGATAGAATTTACATGGTTTTGATAACATTTTGACTGAATTTCCTATAAAGTATATGAGCATATAAAATAAATATTGTAGGATTTTTTATTGTACCTTTTTTTATTAATATACATGTTGATTGAGTGAAATGCACATTTGAAGAAATTTAATAATGAAAGATCATCGACTGTATTATAGCGAATATAGTGTCCTTGTGCGCATAACTTATATCATACCGATTTTAACAATTTACGTCGAAGCGTAATAAATTTATTTACAAAACCCAATTCATCTTGATGACGCACGAAACAGAATGAGAAATATGAAAAGAGGTATTGATGATTAAAAGGTATATGATACGGATATGTATATATTAAAAGTTCTAAATAAGATCGAAACAAAATACATCAGTCTTTTATTACATCACTTTATTTAAGGGTACAATTAATGCGAATACGATCGTTACTCTATAATGATTATTGTTATGCACAATTTGCACAATAATCTCATTTGTACATAACAATATAAATTACGCTGTTTATAAATTATGCTTATCGAAATAATGTAAATAACTATCATTAAATGGAAATAATTAACTAAACTACTACGAAAATTCTACACGAAATTGAAAAAGTGTTCCTTCTACTAGAAAATCGATTAAAAAGTATTTATATCAATATAACTATTCTTTTCTATCTCTAGTTTCGTTTGTTGCTTCTTTTCACGTTGCTCTTCGATGACGCCATAATTATCGTATATAATTTTTATGTGCCAAATTTCTAACAATTTAAGTTAGTCTCTCTACGTATTAATTTCTATTCGCGTAGTATCTTAAGAAATTATATGTAAATATATGTACCGCACATTGTTTCAATTTCATGTTATGCAAGCCGTTGCAATTATTATGAAATATGATAAATGTAAAAACGATTTTGTAAATTCGATTTTATGTCGAAGAATCGTACGCGATTAATTGTAAAACACGACCTGAATTCAGATGTTCGTGCAAGAAAATAAAAATATATATTATTTATGATTGTATAGTGGAATCGATTTTATGACACACATTATTTTAAATTTGATTCTCACGTACAAAAAATATGATTCCATATTGTTGGTTTTCTTTTAGATACCGTGTATTGCGTACCACAAAAACAGATCGACAGGGGGCCTACTATTTTAGGCTGACTTTAATGTTGCTCTTGACTGATCGGCATTTAAGGCACAATCAGTCAAAGCAATGTTTCTTCTTTGTTTGCAAAGAATACTTTTTTATAAATACAAATAAATAAAAAACCGATATAAATGCATGTAGAAATTTATGTTATATTACTAAAAATTTTTCTAAGTAAAATTTATTCTTTCTATTAGAGATTGATAATAAAATAATAAATAAAATTAAGTCGGATGAAAAATTAAGTAATATAAAACCTAAATTTTCGCAGCTTTTTAATGCCTAGCGATAACAGAGATTAAACTTGACAATAAATTAAGATATAAGGCATTACTTAAAACAGTAGATACTCTCAGCGAAGGTCAGACGCGCGCCAGTATAGTATTACTGATGTACACATCAGACAAGACGTGTCTTTAACGTTACAACAAAACTTCTCATCTTGTTTATGATTTTATTTTCTACATCGTTATTGTTTAATTAAGAAATTCATTGAATTCAACTTTAAAATACATTTATATTCAATATTGTACATAACATATTGTATTCAAGATATTCGTCATCGACGACTGATGTATCCGACAATGACGATGTTGAGCGAGGAAATTCATACTTTCCCGGGTCACAACGGTATACGTGACCTGTTCGATGGCGTTCGAATTCACCGCCAGAACGATAAAGGTAACACCGTTGCGGCGGTGAACCCCATTGGCCTAGGGTGCGATCAATACCAGGTTTTCCATGACGTAAGTGCGGCCTTTGGTCCTTATTGGCTCGGACGTACGCCGCATTCCATTATTTATTAAGACCGCATGAATGGATGGATTTTTTCAACCGATCAAGACTCTTTGGATGAAAATCCAAGCTCGAGGAATTCGTCGATTTTCAAGGAATACGAGAGTATCAGCTGGCTGATACCGCTTTGCAAACGATCCAAAGAGTGTGCAAGTGGCTCGCGAGCGACGGTCGTCCTTTCGGGACGCGTTTCTGCCTTCTCCCCCACCTTGTCGGTCTGGCACATGCACGGCAAGAGAAGCGGAATTCGTGCAGGCCGGGTGGTGGTCCCGAATGGATAAACACGAAGAAGAAGGGGTTGTGTGAGTGTTTCGCGCAACTGCGGTCGTACACAAGCACAAGCACGAAGGAGGAGGGTGTCCTCCACCGCGGTGAAACGTCTCGGTGGTTTTGTGACTCGGTTCTCCCGTTTTCTTTCATTTCTCCTCCACCCTCGCATGAACGATAGCGATTAGAACCGTGGGCCGTTCGGTTCGTCGATCGTTGGGTCGCGGCGATTTCCACGCCAGAATCCTAACAGGAAGTCGATTCGCGGCCGGAAATTAGCCCCCTTCGCGGAGACCGGTTTTCTCATTTCAGCCCGTTGCGGTGAGGGTCGGCGCGGCGGTGAGAGGTGCAGGCGGTGCCGTGCGCGAACCAAGCAGTGACGGAAGGAGAGAAAGAAAGGGGCAGAGAGGAAGATAGACACGAGGGAAAGGGGGAAGCAAGATAGAGGCAGATGGCATAGGTAGAGGGAGAAAGATGTAGGCGATCGGCGTGAGAAGGGGGCGAAAGGGAGAGACAGACAGAAGGGGATAGAGAGAGAGAGAGAGAGAGAGAGAGAGAGAGAGAGAGAGAGAGAGAGAGAGAGAGAGAGAGAGAGAGAGAGAGAGAGNTGAGAGCGAAGGAGGTGGTGGTGAAAGAGCGAGAAGGAGAGACCGAGCCGTCAGTGAGAGTAGTACCAATCGCGGAGCGTTGGCGGACATAAGCGCGCTAGGGGTGTGGAATAAGCTCATTCGTGTGTTGTTCTAGCGTCGAGCGTTAGCGAGAAAGGAAAACGCTGAGAGACGGTAGTGAGAGACTAACGTTTCGCCGTCGCTATTCTCTCGAGTAGTTGTTACTAGCGTGTTACTCGCGTGTGCAATCAGTGCGAGCCCAAAACGGTAAACTCAGAGTTCTAGGCGCATTCGAGTCCAGCCGCGATAACACCGCGAGTGTTACTCACCGACCCAGCGACCAAGGAAAGGATAGAACGAGCGAATCCATAATTTCCGCGTAACATCGTAATATTGCCGCAAGGGTTACGCGAACCAGCGAACAGCTGAGCCACGACTCGAGCCAGTTAATCGTTCGGGCACGACGACTCGAAAAGCTGTCGCGAACAGCCGGTCAGCTGAGGAAACGGCTCTCGTGGGTGTGGAACAATCCGGTCTAGGGCGATTGATTGTGTGGGTGTCGCGGTCGCTGCAGAGACGTCGAAGAGCGCCATCGTCGTCTCGGCTGCCACGTGAATCGCAAACATTCAGAGGAATACTTGTAGCGTCGAATATCGTCTACAGCCGAGGTATATCGCATACGTGGCACACGGATTTCCTCGAGGATTTAATCGAGGACACGCGTGTATCGTATCACCGTAATTTGTCTCTCTCGTGCCGATCTTCTTATCTACGGATTCGTCTACTCTCGACTATGCTTGTGAAACTTGGTTGATCGGCCGACGTTCCCGAAGAATCTCCGAAGGATTTCACGATCAATCTCGCTGAGATTCGACGCGCCGTTACGTTGCTTTACTGCCGATAAAAGAGGAGAGGAGAAAAGACAGAGAAGGTGAAGAGAGTGATTTTTGCTCTCGGTGCACGATTCGAAGGTGACGAAGAGAGATATAATACAACGACGAGCCTTGACAGAAATCACCCAGTGACCCGTTTCCGTTCCGAGATCGATGAATATTCCAAAAAACGTTTCGCAGGAGGCGAGAAACATGACCACGTAGCCATTATTATCGTATCTTTCCCGATTGGTGGCCGCTCGGCCGTCAACGCGACACTTCGTCCAGTGCTGAAAACGCGGACTGGTCTTGGTTTTAAGCCAAGGTGGTCTGGTTCCACCTGCGCCCGTCCGCGATTATAGAATCGCGTATTCCACCTGCAAAGTTCAAGAACCTGGGCTTCGTGTGTACGGTAGAAACGAGTGCACCAACGGCACCCGTGACCCGTTTTCATTTTCAATCGATGTACTCGTGAACTGGGCTGCTCGTCCGCTTGAAACCTCGATACCTCGCGAGCTGTTCGACAATCAAAACAGAGGAAAACGTCGTAAACAAATCTGGAATATCGTGGATCGTACGACACGTCATGATAATAGTAATCGTAATTGTGTGAACGAAAGAGATAGAAGACGAGAAGGAGGAAGAAAGAGCGAGGAGGAAGAATCGGAGCACGTTGGGAAAGCGAGGTGTAGCGGGGAAGAGCAGTGCGCACATTCTAACCTCGCAGCCGCCATATCGAGGACGCGAGGAGGAAGGAAGCTCGTCGAAGGTCGCTCGTCGAGGGTACACCTGAGTACAGCCCCAACCGTATCGTTCCATGCTGGCTTCGAGCGGTGAACTAGGACCGGGCACGGAAGAGAGAATGCGAGAACCTCCACACAGCCTGTGAAACATGATTTGTCATACAGATGCGGTCGCTGGTAATCGTACGACGAGAGACAACGACGACGAGGACGCCGACGGAGACGAGGATCACCGGTCTATCCAGCGTCGCGTCGATGCGTCGACGAGGAGTCTCGATGACGCTCGCATGAGAGCCAACCTCGGGGCGGACGATAAGGCGCGCACGAACAACGAGCCAGCAGTCCTGTGTCGAGTGGCTTCCTTTTGTTCAGTCGAACGCCGAGCGAACGTGCTGGTCGTCGTCGACGGGCTTCCAACCTGCTCACCGATCGCCACGGATCGTGACGAACGACGTAGACAGCAGCCACAGCGGCAACACCAAGGGAAACAACAACAACAACAACAACAGCAACAACCAGCGGCAGATACGAAAACGCGAGCACGGCATAATCTACGCTCGTCGAAGGCGTACCCGTGTTGTCGTGGCCAGCTGCGCCGATTACCAGGTGTCGGATGACTCCCCCCGTACGCTACAGCCTTCCCGTAGTCGTAGAAAGGACGCGATATCCCGTAGGAACGAGCGTTGTCGCGCGGCGAGCGATCCTCGTCGCGGTACCTCATCGGCGGCGTCGTCGGTGCTGCGCCGGCCCGCGCGTCGCGCTAAACTCCTCGCGATTAGACCTTCCCGTGCACGTTCCTATCTTACGTCCGTGATGGCGGCTGTACCTGATATGTCGCACCTCACCCCTGAGGAGAGGAGCACCATCGAGGAGGTTATAATAAGGCAAAAGCAGGAGGAAGAGAAGGAGAATGAGATTATGAGGTACGTCGGTTTTTTCCACTCTCTGCTGATACTTTTACTCACTCGTCTCACTAATCATTTATTTATTTATTTATTTATTCATTCATTTACTTTTTTCCTTTTTATTAATTTTTTACGATCGATACACGTACGGGAGATGAAAGTGTAAAACGAAAGAAGGGTGACGATATCGATCTTCTCCAGCTATTGAGGATAACTTGACAATACAAAAACAAAGCATCAGACACTTGACTTAACGAACCACGCTATTTAAGGTAGAGGAGTTTTTTTCTTTAAGTTGCTTAGAATAATGAAGAAACGTAAAATGATTTCTAAAGAACGTTCACGACGTTAGTACTATGCTTTTTTTCCTTTCATTTGTACATCTCCTTTGACAAGCCGGCTCTTGTTGAACCGATGAGAATCAGACACCTTTACGCGTCGTTTGAAACGAATAAATAAACAAACGAAATGGGAGGTGAAGAGCGAAGCGCGTCGAGCTAGTGGTATAGCGTCTGAATGGTCAGACAGGTTGGGCAGAACTACAAAATGTGACCGCGGACGGTCACGCGTCGTTGATCAGAATTACTGAACGAACGAAACGATGTCTGATCGATCGAGTACGTGTATTTCTTGACCAGCAAATTGTCCCCTCCGACGCTTTCCGCCTATTTTCTTCGCTTACCTGTTCGTTAGTCCTTGACCGTTTTATACCTATCGTATCTTCCCTATTTAGGTATTCATCGTTACCTCGGATGATTATCCTGTCGATTCCCACGTTTATTCTATCTATAAAAATTCATTCCCTTGAACTTCGTTTAACTTGATTAAATCACCCTTGCGCGGTTCTCTTCTAAATATTTTTTCTTTTTTTTTTTTTTCTAAAACTTTCCCTCCCTCCCGGAGAAATATAATCGCGCAAATTTCGATCTTTTAAAAATTGCTCCTTCTGCCGGAGAAGCATAATTTAACTCAAATTTCTGACTTTTTAAAACTCGTCTAAAACTATTTTTATAACTTTTTCTCTCCCTCCAACTTCAAGATTTTCCTCTCATTTTCTCAGAGAAGTAATTTCTTATTTTTTTAAAAGTTTAGAAACTCTCTCTTTCTCCCTCTTTCTCTCGACGTACAATTATAGCAAATATCCGAAACGAATCTTCCCTAAGATTGATCCGCGGAACGGGATTCTCCCTTAAACTTTTCGTCGAACAGCGAAACGAATCGGCGAAAACTGATCCTTTTGACCGGGAAAACCGGGGTAGCTAGACCGTTGCAAGAGGCAGCGGGTGACGGATGCGCCAGCAGCCTCATTCGCATGTAATTACGGTGCCAGAGTCGCAGCGAGGCGACGCCGAGGAAAATGGACGGCGTTCTTCGAGGAAGGCGTTTTATTGATAGGTTGTCGCTGATGGAAAACGGGAACGTGAGAAAGCAGTCGAGCGTGCAACAGAGACCCGGCGAGTGTGTGTGTGTGTGTAAGGGAGATAGAGAAAGAGAAAGAAAGATAGACGAAGACCCAAAGCAGAGCAGAGAGAGAGAGAGAGAGAGAGAGAGAGAGAGAGAGAGAGAGAGGAGACAAAGAACAGGGTGAAAGAGGGGTGAATCGAGAGAGTGAGTGAGCAGCAAAATAGAGGGGATGAACACAGAGGCAGAAAGAGAGAGAGAGAGAGAGAGAGAGTAATGAGGAAAGCGTGCTTCGCCATACCGATGCGAGATCATGTAATGTGAACGACAAGTACGTGTAGGGACGCATGTAAAATGCAAGGCAGCAAGCCTTGACGTGGCTCGGTAACGAGCTGCTGTAGTTGCACAGGGTATGCATAGGGTATGTAGCTGCAGACCGTAGATGGAGTGTGAAAGAGGCTGGATTGGCACGGTAAATTCTTAGATCCTGAAATATAGACACACGGGTGGCCCGGCCGCGGAATTGTGACGACGTTTTATACACGCGGCTCCAAAGCTCGGTTACAGCGCGAGTTGGCTTTCTGTTGCTCGACCACGTTGGTGGTCGATGGCGATATAGAGAGAAGGACGGAACCCCTTTGATATCGCGATGATAATTTTAGTCCCGGTACGTATGGGAGTTTCTCACGTCGTGTCGCATCACAAGGCGACTCGCGTAAAAATAGACGTAACCTTTCTCGTCCCTCGTTTTTTAGGCTGGGCAACTGCGTGCGGACCGACGTAATTTTCCGATGTAATTGACGTCGGACTGTACTTTCAACGTCGCTAATTCCAACGTCTACCTTTCACCTTAACGAGTAACATTCTCCGATATCTCTTTCTCCTCTTCATCCCTCTTCTCGTGGACGTTGCGAAGCTCGAGCGTGTAACGGGACAGGATAAAGTTTGAGGCGCGAACGAAAACGAAAAGCACAAAAAGAAAAAGAAAAAAAATGGAGCCTCGAATGGCCGCGTGAGAGGGGATTCTTTGTTGGAACGAGGCACACGTAGACACGGTGGCTGCTCGTGTGAAAAGTCGCGTAGCACGGATTTTGTGGGACGGAAAAGTCGCGCGTAAATCACGGGAGATGTTCGTTAAGTAACCTACATTTCTGTGCTCTGGCTTTGATCTGCTTCTTTACCTCCTCTCCCCTCTTCTTTTGTCACGGAAGAATATTTTTTTTTTTTCTCGCGTGACGGATACACCGTGTCTTGGGGAAAAAAAGAAAAAAAAAAAAAACACGGCCGTAACACGACGAACCACGAGTTTCAACTCGGCCGATCGTCGTCGCGTGTTCGCGAGTCGCGCGCGATTATTGGTAAAGCAATTAGAGCAACGTGGGCGGACACACGTACACGTCTCTCTCTCTCTCTCTCTCTCTCTCTCTCTTCCTCTCTTTCTCTGTCTTTCTCTGTCTATATAAGCGTGTACCGCGGTGTATATGTACTTTGTGACATGCAGCCACTACGACCTTTGACTCGATCGGCAAACTCAAGATTTAGGTTACCGCCGCTCGCGACTGTTTCATGCAAATTTCCGTTCGAAACTCCATCGACTACCGGCTGCATTTAATGCAGGCGACTCTTCCCTCCTTTGTGCCTCGCGGCTATAGCTGCGAGAGGAATAATCGCGTACGCTTTGCGGGAGAGGATCCACCTAACCACGCATCCATCGTCTCGATTTTTGCAGCAAAAGTAACAAGCATAAACAAGAATAAATTCTTCGCGACCATCGAGTCTGAGCCGAGTGGAATTCCGATCTTGATAAGCTAGATAAACGACACTGTGCCGAGTCTGTTTCGCGAGATGCAAGTTCGAGCCTACCGTTCCGGTGCCAACAACCCTCGTGATCCTCAACTTTCCTTTCCGTCCATGGTACACGCGACCTCAGAGAGACTGAGGGCTTCCGGTGCCTCGTGCCAGCCTCGTGCCAAGTATTCCTCGCTCCCTCGTGCATTCGCGCTAACCTACTTGGCTTGCGAGTCCGTTCTGGCTGTGCACTGGCTCGTCATCTACGTCCCTTGTGATTAGGGTGGTTCACATTGTTTACTAGCCACCATCTTCCAACGAGAGAAACTCTCTTTTTTTGCGCGCGAGGGTACAAATTCGTGTGCACACGCTTCCACGAAGTTTCATCGTGCGGTGACAAAAGACACGGAAACGTCGTAAGCCGGCGGTGGACTGGAACATAATCGATGACATCGGTCACATTCCGTTCCAGTTCAATTACCTCGCGCGATAAATTGACTCTCCGCCGATATCAAAGTTTCGGCCGCTTCCCTTCGCTGCGAACCGCTCACAATCCTATCTTTCTGCCCGTTAATCGAACGGCGTGTCCTTTCGTTTCTTTCGGTTCCTTTCGAGGCTCTCGCGCACGATCCTGAAATCGAGTGCCTCGACAAAGTTCCATTCCTAACTGAGATTTGTTCGCACAATCGAACGAGGCTGCGCGGCTCGGGGAAAAACTACGCCACGATGGCGAGGGGTTGCGAGATATTAACAATGATCAGAATCGGCCAAATAATTTCGATTTTTGATATAAATTTTATAGATTCACAATTTACAGGTTTTCGAAAATTTAATTTCGTAGAGCACTTTTTCTCCGTTTCGTTGCACTTTGGTTTTTTCTTGACACACAAATTTCCTATATCCTTCGAAGAATCTTTCGTAATCAAATTACTTTTTTATTTTATTTCACCACGTGACAAATCGAGGGCTAATGGTAATTAATACAAATCTTATTTTTCAACGTCTTTCAGCGGACTTGTTCAATCTATACTACACGAGAACTTTAGACGTATAAAACTCGTGGGAAAGTAGATTTTTCATCGATAAATTTTCCCTTCCATAGTCTACGCGATACCGTACGTAGTTCACGACGCGACAGCTAGGCAAGTTTCCCTGCCACCTGTTATCTCCTCCGCTTCTATCGACAGTCAGAACTTCAAACGTCGTTCGTACGGTGCATAAACACGGAGGACTATAGTCGACATCTAGTTTCCGAGGCTCGATAATAAGACGTTTGAGCGCGTTCACAGAGGGAGGATTGGCGATTTCGCGCGGTTGAACGCTACGTCCAACGTTGTATCACTATATCGTGTCTCCCATACGCTTCTTCCTCTCCCCCTTTGCAGGCAGAGTTTCCCGTCAATTCTGATATCTCTGCGAGCGAACTCAGCTCGATACGAACGCGGTGGGTGTTTCGTTGAATTCAGCCTCGATGAATTCTCTCGGACGTCTGATGGCTGTTACGGTCTCTTGAGTCTGGAAAACCTCGCTGAAAGCTAAATGAGCGGGGGTTAAAAACGTCGCGCTGCGAATTAGTTACGCGGCTGGAATTAAATAGCTCTCCCCTAAACGAAATCATAGCGAGGGCAGATAAAAGTGGAACGACGACGATGACGACGACGGTAGTAGTGCAATTTGCAGAAAAATCTCAGCTCGACGAAGGGCGACCGACTATAGACTGAATTTTAATGGCAGACTCGAGAGAGAGAGAGAGAGAGAGAGATCTGGAGGTCTATTTCTTAGTTTTGTTCGACCGAAACACTCGAAATCGTGGATCCACAATTACCAGAGAATCTAAGCCGGTGGCTCGAGACGAGTCTTCTGAAGTCGTTCCGCGCTCGAACAAGCACGCTTTTCTTCTCAGTTTTCCTCCTCGAGGCGAGCGTACCGCTGGCAATGGGACACTTTGCTATCTGTTCTCGATAGAAAGGGTTGTTAGAACGCAGCTAAGCACGTACGTGCGTCTACATACTCTACGTCCGTTCGTTTCCAACGAGGTAGCCGTCCCTCGTTCGTTTGATGGTTCAGCCTGTAATTTCCATACGATGTCAACGACTGCCTCTAAACGCGATTCCTTCTTCTCCATCTTATCCACTATCGCGACGTCGCGACCAAGTCGCGTCTCTTTCAAAGATCGATCCGACTTTTATCGATCTTGCGCTTTCATCGCAATCCCGCACGTTCCGTGACGTTCCCAGGAAATTTCCCTCCGCTCTCTGTCCTAACATTTTTAACGTTATCGCGAAGTAGACCCTTCCCCGCCCCCTTCCCCCGCGCACTTACTCCGCCAGAGAAGAGAAATAATACTTTCCTTGTGTTGTGTTCGTTCGCAGACGGAAGCAAGACGAAGTGAAGATCCTGGAGGAGAGGATACGGGCCTGCTCGGAGAAACACAAGAAGGCGGGAGTGGAGCTGCACGCCACGTGTCACATATGCTTGAAAACCAAGTTCGCCGACGGCGTCGGCCACATCTGCAACTACTGCAGCATCCGGTGCTGCGCACGCTGCGGCGGAAAGGTCACTCTACGGTCGAACAAGGTAGGGGGCGAGATCGGGAGAAAGAAACAGCGGAGATATATCGTCCGGGAGGAAAATCGAGTCCTCAGCGCCGACACTAATTCCCATTGTTTTTCTTGCTCGTTCGCGTTCTCGCGCCGCGACACGCTGGAAGATCCGGTCTGACTGATTGGCTACGTTAACTTAACTCCGCCATTCCGTCCGCTGTCGTTGAACTTGCTACTTACGCTGACACAGTATCTGATCGTGATTATTTTACAATTTCGAGTCTTTGTTCCGATTCAGTTCTCGATTCGCTACGTTAAGCTTTCTCTTCTTTTTCCTATTTCGTCCACTTGGCTCGTTTCATGCCGGCGTGTCTGATCATTGTCGACTCGTATCACTAGCTCTCACATTTATTTCATTCTACTTGCTCTTGGTTCACCAACATTGTTCTGCTGTTTTTTGATATTTACACTGATTCAAGATGGTCGGACCATGCCTTGAAATTTATTCCGCTGCACTAGCTATCAGTATCAATGTTTCTTTTTACACTCTGTCCATTATTACAGTTTACATTGATATAACGTTAAGTTACAAGACTACGGTTGTCTTGTATCGCTAGAATCTTCTTAGAATCCTCTTTGTTTCAATGATTGCAACTTTGGTGCCAATGTTGTGCAATCACGGGAAAATCGTTGCCTCTCGCTGCGTTTCACGTTCTCGGAAGGCGTTGAAAATGCTACTTTCGAGCTGTGAGTTTCGTCGGTTGTTCTCGGCGTGTTTCAAAATGATTCTGGCGAGAGATCGGGCAAAGGTGGGGCTGGATAATCCGCTATTTTTCTTTTAATTACGAAAGCCACTTAAATTTAGCGAACGTTCACGCTTTGAGGGATCACGAGTTTTATTTGTCGTCAGACCGGTCAGGCTCGCGACCAAAAAAGATTCATTACCTAAATGAAGGGATCAAAGAAAAATCCTCTGTGACGGTGCATTCGGTACGCGAGCACCGGAAACGCCTTGCCGCTCTCGTGACATTTCAAGGCTCGCTCTTTTCACGCCGCTCGCGAAATTCAAATAAATTTCGCCCCCACGCGGAAATATTTGAATTTCTATCCTCTTAATTGCCGCAAATGTTCGTTTAACCTTATCAAGTGAAGTGTAGATCGGATTCTACTGTTGCGCGCGGAACGTTTAAAGGGAACGATGGACTCGTCCGAGTCCAACGGGCGGATTATTGTATTTGAGAGTTCGGCGAGAAACGTCACTGATCGATAAACGAGTCGTTTGGTATCGATCGACTCTACGAAATGAGAAGTTAAAAAAAGAAAGTGACAAGTGAGTCGCGGACGGTGTAGAAATAAGACAGAATTTACAGTGTAGCAATAGAGAATATGAACAATCTTTCGTTTTGTTCGTTGAAATTTGTTAAGAAAAAAGTAAAGCACCTCTTCGTCGATATAAAATTTCTGCAAAGGCTCGCGAATTGTTGGCTCGAGTCGCTAATTTATATTTAGTAATTAGAAATTACGTCGTTCGCTTACTGACAATTTATTCATTCAATTAGATTAAAAAATTGGAGTTGACCATTCCGAGAGGTCAAGCCAGCGAATCGGTAAGGTCAAGATTGGTCCGAAAACCAGAGTCACCGGCTCGACCCTCGCTGATAACACTGATCAATGGGTTCTCGGGCGCGAATCTGTGCACTCGGGGGAACGGAAACGAGGGTACGATTGCCGACTCCTTCGAACTATTATCTCGAGTCTGTCGCTGTATGTTTCGCCGGACTATATTCGCCCATTGCACAATCTCGCTATCCTAAATAGAACGGCGAGAACGAAATCTCTGGTCCTCTCGAGAGAAAAATGCCACCGTAATTTCTGATACATCCCCCTTTCCATTTCGAGTCTGCAGATTTTTAAGCGTTCTCCGTTCGTGTGTCTCCAACATTTCCTTCCAAGTATTCTGGTTTTTTTCTTTCTTCAACACTTTCTTTTAAGGCTTTCTTTTAACACACTTTCTTTTACTACACACTTTTCGAAGCACTGTTTTTGCGATCGAGGATACGAAATGTTTGCTTGACAAGAACGCAACTGTGTAATTCTTGATACTCTTCCAAAGGCTGAATTCTGCATTTTATATAAATAGACCGTACATTTTCAGATCGTTCTTGAATTCGATCGATATAGTCAGACTTAGCGTCGATGTTTCCAGAGATGTTTCATGGAATGGAATAAAATTCTGTTTCTCTGGTAGCAGAAGCGGAGATAGATTATTCGAAATCGAATCGATTACGAGATACAGATTTTTTTTCTGTTTCTATTTTTCTCTCCACGGTGAACTTTCGATAATCGATGAATCATCGATATTGCCTCGCGAGAGGCAAGGGCGTGTCACCGCGTTCAAAGTCGAGGGACGCGAAGGATGAAAAGCCAAATAAGAGGGAAAGGGAGGGTACTGTGGTACTGTTCGTTTGTTGTCATCGATGAAAATCCTATCGAAATTGCGTGCGATCTGACCAGGGGTGAATACCAGCGTGCATAGACGGAGAAACGTATTCGTATAGCTAGCTGGCTATTTAGCGACAGCATTACGCCCACGCACGGCAGACACGCGCGCGCGTCCACGATAACGGTTAATTGGTGTGCCGTGGAGGAGAGCGGCGACGAAGAGGGGCGAAAGCCACACTATAGGTCAATTATTTCCACGTATTTCAACCGTGCGCGACTATATGCGAGGGTCCCGGTTATCGTCTTTCCCGCGATACGGCCGCACTTGATTGTTTTTCCAGGAAATTGACATTTCTGGCCGGCGCCTCACTTTCAACACCGAGCGAAATCGGCGGCCAGAAGAAACGCTCGTGTTTCGAAATCTCCTCTCACTTTGGGAAATAAATGGACCGCCTCGAAGACCGCGATAAATCACAGCGCGGCGCGGATCCAATTTTCCGCGAACGCCGGGGTGGAACTGGAAAAGTTGCGTGAAATCGCTGGAATCTTCGATAACGCGCGAACACGAGATCTTCTTCCGCCATTAACCGCCTCTCACTGCGGTGCCATTTTCCTTAACGTCGATCTAATTTCTCAAACTCCATCTCCCTCCGGTACTCCATTTGCCCACCCTTCTCGTCCTCCATGTTTTTTTTATTCAAACGAGAATTTTACTTTCCCGCGTCGGTGTGTATCTGGTCGGTGCTTTAGGAGAGCATTCGAAGCATTTATCGAGAAAAACCTTCGAAAAAGATCAGTCGGCACGTGGCATGACCCAGATATCCCACTGATTCAATGATCATTCGAAATCCAAAGAAGCAGCGACGAATTACTCGAAAGGAAATCCTCGAATAGATCGAGTAACACGATTACCGATAACACGAACGAGGTAGCGAGGCGAACGGGTTGTTCGTGGCTGCCACAGTTATTCGCCGCGTATTGAGCAGAGCCGCAGAGGAGCGAAGGGGTTAATTTAACTTGGTTTTTGAAAGCATCCGCAAGCTTTGGCGAAATAAGAGCGACAATCGAGGCTGGTGCTCGCGCGCGCGTTTCATCCGGCGTGGTGTAATAATAGAGGCAGACGCGCGGAACTTCGGCCTGCAACTTCCTGTAAGTTTATTGGTTTCCGTCGTACTTTCGCGCAGCTTAAGAAACGCGGGGACGGGGGGGGGGGGGGGGGGGGGGGAGAGGAGGCGAGTTCGCTATGCAGTCGGTTGAAGCGAAGAGCCCAGGCTGCCTGCCCCGGCCGCCTACTTCAAACCAACCAGGCGGAGCAACAATTCGCGATACTTTCGAAAATATTTCATCTTCGATTCTCAACGCCTTTGTCTCCCTCTCTCTCTCTTTCTGAAACTTGCGCGAAACTATCGGCGGCTGCCAGTCGGTTCCTCAGTCAGGCAGTTCCCGCTCGAGACTTGCAGATTCATCGATCGTTCTCGCTCGGTGAACTTCTCTCTCGCTTGCTCGCTCGGAGAGTCATCCATCTCGAATTCTCGCTTGATACAGCCGAAAATATACAAGACAGACGGCAAGACGCGCGAGAGGGACAACTCTGGCGTGTATATACGCGCGTGCCGGCGCTTCGTACTCCCACACGAGCATCAGGGCCACACGCAGCTACGATGATAAACGTCACGGTGCGCGTTACGACATCATCGATCCGCTCGTACGTTTCTTCCTTGCTCTAAAGAGAGAACGTGTATGCGCGCGCGCGCGTGTGTGTGTGAGAGAGAGAAAGCTAGAAACAGAACCACGATACGCGAGGTTCGTTCAATTACACGAGCCCCGGGCTTTTTTCACTAAGCGGCCGGTCCTTCGGTTCGTTTCTCAGGGTCTGAACGGGAAAATCCCTCTTCTCCTCTTCTTTTCCTCCTCGCCCCGGGTTTTCTGCTACACCCTTACCGTACAATCAAACCGGATATATACTTACGTCTCTCGATCGTTCCTCGTTCGTTTCTCGCTGGTCCGGCCGTGGTTTTCGCCTCCCTGCGTGGGAGAGCCTATGAATGGGGCGCGTCCCTGCGTGACGTCACGTTCCAGAGGTAGGGTGCCGGGGTCAGGAATGAAGCGCGGGGTGGACGAAGGTGTGGGTGGCGGTCGGATGGATGGTCGGGCGGCGTGCAGGCGGGCGAAACGTGACGCAACATATTGATCTAAGTTTCGTAGGGAGGGTTACAGAGTCCATGATGGGCCGGTGGGGACACGCCGACCGACGCGCACCGACGCTGGCTGGAACGGGCGGGACGCGAGGGGTGAACGGGATACAAGGTGGCCCGGTAAATTTACCGTTGTTCTTCGTTTCGACGGCGGCGGTCGTGCCGCGCCGGTGTGCACTTGGCGTGGCCTCACCGTTCACCGTTCATGAGAGAGAACAAGGAGCGGAGTGCGACTTTGAAGCTAGACCGCCACGCGTGGGCGACAAACGGCGGTGGAAAACCGGCTGATGCGTGTAGCTCGGCTGCGAACCGAGTTGCTGCTGTCCGGTCGCCGTTTATGAAATTAACCGTTCTTTTCGATGAAAGGCGTGTCGTTAATTGGAAGGATATAGAGTAT